GCAAAAAAAATTACCCTTTTTTTTCAGTACTTTACTTAACTCTTGAAATGCTCCTTTCGCTTGTCCAATACGTGTTCGGATCTTGTATTTTCCACCTTCTGTTATAACGCTTCCTAGATATTTAAACTTATTCACCTGCTTATTGTTTATATCTCCAATTCATAACTCGCTTCATGGTGTTTTTCCTCTTGCTGTCTTCCGGCAGTTGATAGTCCTTTTATTTAACTGTCTTTCACCAACCTTTTAGTTACTTATTCCAATTAGATAGAAAATAAAGAGATCTACTAAGTTTAATTTAGTCTGACACTAAAATCGGAGACCTTGGATCATCGAACTCATTACACTAGCTAATGGTCCGCCAGACTAGCTTTATAGATATCACTCTTACTTTAGCAAAGAAATATTTTAGCTTAGCTTCGTTTGCGACAGCGAAACGAAAGGGAATCCTCTGCCAAAATCAAACTCTCTACAGAAGCGATAGAACTAAGAAAAATATCTTGTTAACAATCGTCGTTCCCCCGGTATTGAAAATGTGTTCTATTTTTATTTTTAAAAATGAAGAATTTAACTGAGTGCCTCACAACAGAGGCTAACCTTGCCAACCATTCTTCTTCTTACGTGCGGTTTATTCTTTCGTGGCGAAACATTTCATAGTTCTCCAAAGATTCCCACCTTTTGTTATTCTAAGGAAGATTTGAATATTTGGTGCGGGTGTACAGTTAGTGTATAGATTAGAGGCTGGAAACAAGAGATTGGCGGGATTTTTTGCTCTTATTTTTTTCAGGATTTCTCTTTCTTTTTCTCTGTATCTGTCTTGTTCTCTCTATATAAATGCGCGCGCGTGTGTTCACGCAAGCGCACACAAGCGCACACACACACACGCACACACACACACATACCGAGTGTAACAGCAAAATTGTCTAAATCGTGTAACAGCAAATTTGTCCAATTGCTAGGTTAAGCTCTAAATCGTTGTATCTTAGAAATAGAAAGATAACTTACTGGAATTATCCATGTTTTTTTTTATAACACTGTTGGACTATACTTTGAGCAATAAGAAAATATAATATACTCTCTAACCAGAAGAATCGTGATGAAATCGATCATAAAAAAAAGATATGTTCATCATTAATTAATCATAGCTAAGGATCAGAAGCTCATGAAGGATTGAAATTAAGTTCATATATACAAGGGTCATTCAATAAATAAGGTGAATCTTTCGGTATAAGGACTTCTAATACAGATAGAAGCTTTTATTTTTTTATTTCATTTTTTTTTTGTTGTTTTACTTCTTATTCCCATGGATTTAATTTCTTTTGTAGATTAAAATAAACTTTGAAAGTTTTGGCGAGTAACAAAAATGACCGACCAAGAAGCATGCTCCAGGATTGAACAGCGGTCAGTTATCAAGTTTTTAGTTGCTGAAGGGTGCAAACCAGTTGAAATTCATAGGAGAATGTCAACTGTGTATGGTGCCACATGTTTCAACCAAAAAATGTCTACAAGTGGGCTAAATTGTTTAAAGAAGGACGGAGCAGTGTTGAAGATGAAGACAGGCCTGGGAGGCCTACAGAAGTGAGGTCTCCTGAGGTGATCGAATCAGTCAATGACGTCATTCAGTCTGACAGAAGAACTACTGTGAACTGCTGAGGCAGGTCAAGAAAACATAAAAAACAAACGCAGGGGTCATCAGTCAGGAGTCATCTTGCATCATGACAAAGCAAGGCCTCACAGAGCAGCCCAAACGGTGCAGACCATCAACGAGCTGGGCTGGGAACTGCTCCCTCATCCCCCTTACAGCCCAGACCTTGCCCCTTCAGACTTTCACCTGTTTGGTCCCTTGAAAGCGTTCACGAGAGGCACGAAGTTTAAAAATGACGATGAAGTCAAAAGTGTTGTGAGCGAAAGATTTTTACGCTGAGGGAATACGGAAGCTTGTGCACAGATGGGAAAAGTGTGTGACAGTGCTGGGAGACTACGTTGAAAAAAAAATGAAAAAAAATGAAAAGTAAGCTTCTATCTGTATTAGAAGTCCTTATACCGAAAAATTCAGCTTATTTATTGAATGACCCTTGTATATATATATATATATATATATATATATATAATTTCAGGATCATTTCACAAGTTATTCAAGATGATCTTCGCCTTCTCTAACCTTTTAACTTTCTGTCCTGGAGTTGTTGCCTCACGCGTTTCCCGTACGATTTCATTTTCAAGTCTTTTTTTCATCTTTGGACTGCCGTAGGTAAAACTCCTCTCTCACTCCAAATGTCTTATGTACTGAGTTGGATCTTTTTTTAATTGATCTGTATACCTCTAAATTGAAATGAATATCTTTTTCCTTTTGTGACCTACTGATCCAGTTTTCATCTCTACTATTCCCACTTTTTAAAAATTATTTACCATCCCCTTGATGGTTCTTGAAAGGACTCTGAAAAAAGAAGCCAGAGTAGGAATGTTGGTACCATTACTAAAAGTCTGAATGATTTTTTTTTTCCTTTCACCATTGCTCAGTTGAGAAGAGAGCGGGGTTGACACAAAACGATTTAATCTGTTCTCTTTCTAGCTGAATAACTGAAAGGGTTTTTCAGGGATTCTTACGAGAAATGGTATCAAGATGGCGAAACGTCTAATCTGAAAACCTGGAAATAAAAGAAACTCAATTACTTTTATGGTTTTTCAACTATTAAACATTTTCTGGCCAGGATGTAATGAGCTGGAAAATAAAGCCATTCATATAACTTCAGACACAAATGCTTAAAAGAAACCCACACAGGTTGTGCAAATCCTACTCAGACAATTCAAAAGGTTTTAATTTTGACCTGATTTTAAAGGCTTCAAGTACATACTAATCCAGGACGGTGGATATAAGATTATTTGGTTAAGAGCGTTTTAGTATTTGCTGAAAGTCAATAATGTCAAATAACTCAATATAATGAATTACATATACGATTAAATAATTGATAAGTTTGAACATAAATAATGTGAACCTTGGGAAATTTTCAATAATGATGAAATTATATAACCGAAAAAAAATTTGTTAGTTCGAAATTTAAATGTTGTTGCTCTTTTTACGAAACTGGAACGTGGTAAGAATTTCAAGTTTATTAGTTTGTTCTGAGGGCTATAAATATAAGATCAGATAATAATTTTAATAGATTTATCGAACATCTGACCCTGATGAGCGTTCAGAGGAATTTAGGATCCCATTGAATCCCATTTGAGAAAGAGAAGAATAAAAGAAAACAGTTACAATCAATAAAAAAGCGGCGACCGAAAGAAAATTGTCAGAAAGAAAGAAATATGTATAGATCAAGAAAAACGTGTATGTTTTAAAATCTTTTATTTGTTATAAGAACACGATCTAATATATTTGGTCTACAAAAAGGAACTCTTAATGCACTTACTTAATGTGTTTATTTTCAAGTTTTTTCGCCGTGTACCAGATGGAAATTGTTAACTTGTTGCCGGAATATAAATCCTCCGCTGAATAACCTCACCCCACACGTTTTTGTTTGAAACATTCAAGCCAAGGATTTAATACTGTTTCACCGAGGGAATATGTGTTCTATACTATCAGATATCTTATAATTAGTGTATTTTATAATTTCAATTTCTAGTAAAGAGAATGTACAATTAATTAAATATATATATATATATATATATATATATATATTAATTATATATGTAGATATATATATATTAATTATACATATATATAATTAAATATATATATGTGTGTATGTGTGTGTGTATGTATGTGTGTGAATGAAATAGACAATTGGAAAATAATACTTAGTTCTTGCCGACGCGTTTCGTCATTTGCCGAAAGTGATGATAAATAAAAGCGAGATGTTTTGTAGTTACATGAAATTCAAAAGTTTGAAAAAGACGCTCCCGTGTAAGCCTCGTTTTGGATATTAGCGATTTTTTTTTTGACTAAGAGTGTGTTTTTCTTTTCCATGTCAACAATGTGCTAAATTTCTCCGAAAAAAAAAAAAAAAAGCAAACAAACTGTAGATAAGAAAAATTGAATAAACTAGACAATCGGAAAATGATATTTAGTCCTTGCCGACGTATGTCGTCATTTGACGTTATCAAAAACATACACATAAAAAAAACACAGTTATTAATATCAAAAAAGAAGATTACGCAGAAGAGAGTTTTTTTTGTTTTTTTTTAATTTCTTTTAATTTCACGTAACTATACAAGATTTAGCTTTTGTTTATCAACACTTGTCCTGATAAATTCAAATGACGAGACGCATAGTCAAGGACTAAGTACTATTTTCTGATTGTCTATTTTATTCAATTTGTCTTCTCCAGAAATTTATTCTAGGAACTTTAGCATATATATATATATATATATATATATATATATATATATATATATATATATATATATATATGTTATGTTAAAAAAATAACTAAAATGCTCAAACGCAGTACCTTGTCTCTCGTCTTTCACGAAACATGTATAAATGAGAGATTACTGCCTAAATACACAATTTATATATATATATATATATATATATATATATATATATATATATATATATATATATATGTGTGTGGGTATGTATGTATTTGTGTGTGTGTGTGTGTGTGTGTATTTAATACAATAATAAAAATAATATATATATAAAATCTGTCACTTAGCTGATTGGTGTTACGTTCAGCATCTCCACTCGATAGTTTAGTAGACGGACCCTTCTGCAATCTCTCCGTATACTAATCATGTTTTTTTCTTTTTGCACATATTACTTCAAATGTTATTTTTAATGGCTACCCGTATATGTATGTACCCATCTTTTTTTAAACAGTGTTTTTTTTTTTTTTTTTTCACTGGCCTGCACACTCGAGAAAACCTGATAAAGAAAATGTACACCCCGGCAGCTTTTGAATCGGCATACCCGTTTATTGAAGAAACCACCGTTTGATCCAGCGTGCTTTCATCACTATTGCCTTTTCATGTCCCCACCAGATAGATAGATAGATATGAACAGACCAACAGTTTATTTGAAGAAACTATTCATATCTATCTATTATCTATCCAGTCCGTATCTATCATCTATCTATCTATCTCAGTCCGTCCATTATCTATCTATCATATCCCCTATCTAGATAGATCAGTCCGTCCATATCTAATCATCTATCTCAGTCCGTCCAATCAGAAAGATCAGTCTGTCCATTAATCTATCTATCTATCTCAGTCCGTCCATATCTATCTATCTATTCATTCATCCATCTCAGTCCGTCCATTATCTATCTATCTATCTATCTCAGTCCGTCCATTATTATCTATCTATCTATCTATCTCAGTCCGTCCATTATCTATCTATCTATCTATCATCTCATCCGTCCATTATCTATCTATCGTCCATTATCCGTCCATTATCTATATCTATCCATCTATCTCAGTCTGTCCATTATCTATCTATCTATCTATCTCAGTCCGTCCATTATCTATCTATCTATCTATCTCAGTCCGTCCATTATCTATCTATCTATCTATCTATCTCAGTCCGTCCATTATCTATCTATCTATCTATCTCAGTCTGTCCATTATCTATCTATCTATCTATCTATCTATCTCAGTCTGTCCATTATCTATCTATCTATCTATCTCAGTCTGTCCATTATCTATCTATCTATCTATCTCAGTCTGTCCATTATCTATCTATCTATCTATCTATCTGCCTGTCAGTCTGTATGCATGCATGCATGAGTGTATATAGTTTGTACTGATATTCAAGGGAACATGTAGTCGAATTTTCAGCTTACCAGCTGAATTCTCCTCTACTGAAGTCTTTCAATTTCATTGGATTTCAGTAATAAGTGAAAAAAAAAAAACTAGAAAAAAACAAAAAACAAAAACATTCCACTGTGTTGGCCATATGTCAAAACCTTAACGAAACGTTAAACCGAGTGACTTTCGGTGACAATTACACGTCATGTGTATGTGTGTGCGAATGCAAGACTCAGAGAAAGAGAGAGACAGTGAGAGAGAGAGAGAGAGAGAGAAAGAAAGAAAGAGAAATGTCTTCTCGGATTCGATGCGTAAATAAATAAATAGGAAACGGATTTAAAAGGAAATATGAAACGATAGATTTTACAAGTAGAATCAATAATACCCTCTTTTAGATATAAACCTCTTCATCTTTCTGGCATCCACTCATGCAGAATGTTATTTTATCACGTGTATATAACACGCAAATATGTTTTTTTTCTTCTTTCAAGATGGATTTCTTTATTGTGACATTAAATATTTAACAGTTCAATGTGTTAGTAACGCTTTCATAACATTATCTGTTTTTTTTTTTTTTTCATAACTTACTATACATATACTATGGTAAAAACTATACATATACTATACATATACTATAGGAAATCCTATAGCAGGGTGATTGGGACTAGTTCCTATATCAAGGAATCACTTGTTTTAGTTTTTGTTTTCACTACTTGATGGCGCCAGTTGGAAGTTTGAGTCAAAAGTGCGATTAGCATTGGGAATTTTGCCTGAAAAATATTTTTTCATTTTGCTAACATTTTATCTATGAAAAACGTGTGTTTAGATCATGAGGTAACGTACAAGAGGCGATAATGTAGTCTATCTTTATGCGTAACGTAAATAGACAGCACACACACACTCGCATTTATATATATATATATATATATATATATATATATATATATATATAAAACACACACAAATTTACCAGAATCCATTAGAAACTTACTAGTAGAAAACAAATATATTAACTGCATCCACCTGAAGAAAAAGACTAAAAATAATGGAAGCTTTAATAATAAAAAAGAAAAAGCCAACTCTTAACAATATTAACTACGAACAAAGCCACAATGTCCTAACCGTATTCGGAAATTAAAAACATCCCTACCACACACTAAGACATACACAGAACGCACACACTCAATTAAGCTGAAAAATCGAATCATCCTTGATAATGGCTAAAGGTATAGCCAAAAGCGCTCGGAACTATAAAACATTTGGACAGTTCTTACACACCCTTTGTCCAGAAAAGAAAGCTCTTGTTCGAACACAAGATAAATTAAATAAAAAGCTTAACCGTAGTACCTTGTCTGTCGTTTTTAATGAAACATGCATATATATATATATATATATATATATATATATGGGAAATTTTAGGACAAAGTGGAAAAGTTTACTTGTGACGCGTTTCGTCCTTCAGAACTTCATAGGACTAATTTTGTTATGGTGTTGGGACTGTACAGGCGCACGACAGAGGGGTGCTGGGAATTTTAGAATTTTCTTTTTTTAGTGTCCACTTCTGTATGGGTGTCCCAATCTAATCGTGCGGAGAATCTATAACGCCATAAATGCACGGCAATAATACTGACAACAGATATACTTAAGTTATGTATATTATGTGCTTACAGTACCTCTATTATATTTACTACGATATATTGATAGAATGATTTATGAAGGTTCTTAAAACGTATTAAATAGCAGGAGCTTCTTGAACTATTGTGTTTATATATATATATATATATATATATATATATATATATATATATATATATATATATATACTGCTCCATATGTGGCCTCCTTTGTAAATCACTAGCGGGTCTTAAATGCCACTTAAGATTATCGCACAAACTTTCATAACTGAATCAATAAGCTGTCAGATCCTCATACGTTGAAATCGACGAGAGAGTCCATTATTATCTATCTATATATATATATATATATATATATATATATATATATATATATATATACACACACACACAACAGTTAAAAATTTTGAATCCACGCTCAGAATTAGGATGGGATGAACTTGACAGAAGAGTGAAGAAAAAACGAACTTGTGCATCGCCGTTTTCAAGATAAAAAGTTGGTTTCCCACACCAGCAAAATGTTTACGGCTTCCAAAATTCAAAGAATTATAGCTTCAATATCATTTCAATGCTGGTTGCAAATATCAAACGATAGCAAATCACTACCCAGGCAGGTTAATAGCCTTTATATTGACGGAATGGTAAAGTGTGAAGCAGACATTAAATCCTTCTGCCATACACGCATGCGTGAAAAAACTATAAACGCAGATAACACCATTTCAGCTTTTGAGTAAAAGAAAAAAAAAGAAAGAAAGGGAGCATGCGTACTGTGGACATGGAAATCTTGTTCTCATTCACTTGGGTCCCACATCGCGACAGGACGCAAAACTAGCCCTTCGTAGCTGGCGTAGGCATTATAGTTGATTCACCGGCTGTTTAAGTTCAATTTTGCCTTCATTCTTTACAGAGACACATAAGATTGTTGTTTGAAATTTTCTCAACAAGAAAGATGTTAACGACAGAATAAATATTTTTTTTATCTTACCTTTCTTTTCACTCTTTTGTTTGTCGACTTTCTTATCATCATCTTTTGTTCAACACACTATCCCTAACCTAGTAACAACTGTTTGATGACAACGAGCTTAGTTGTAAGTTTCTTTACTTCGTTTTAACGTTACAAGTGTCTTGTATATCTACCGAGGAGCTATCTACACCATCAAAAATGTTTTAAACCACAACGGTACATAGCGAAAGCAAATACGCGACATGTTGAAATTTCATTAAATACTTATTCCATAAAATACGGTAAAAATAATAAAATTTTGGCTGTGGAAAAGATATAATTTTCGTTAACAAAATAGTCTAAATGTCTACATTTTTTTATAAGAAAGAAATATCTCGCTGATTACCCAGCCAGGGAAGAGCGCCTCCTTCTTAGGTATGTGACCCTAAGCAAAGGTGAAGGAAAAGAAATGAGGGACATTCTTTTTAGAAACACGGGTGTCTAGAATTAATCATTTAGCCTCTGCTACTACGTATATCCTCTACAGTTGTGGCATAAAAGTAACACAGTAGTTTTGCACATCAAAACACTAGCGCTAAAGTGTAATTAGTATCAAGTGATCTACCACTAACCACACAACTCATCATTTAACATATGTTGAGAAATGTGCACATTATTTTAAAACTATATTTTAAGTACATTTTTACCTATATAAAGTATACAAATGAATATTTATAATTGGCTTATTTTTTTTCATAATTCCAAGCTAGATAATAAAATTTCAAGGCATATGTTTAATAATCCTAGAATTTGTATCAGTGGGCAACTGATCCATGACTAAACATTTTAAGTTACATATTCTTTTTTCAGATGTTTCAAACACATCTCGAACCTATAAAATGACACCCTTCATGGTCTACGTAGGCCAAAAAGCAGTAGATAGAGTGTCTCGTGAAAATGGAAGCCTCGGATTAGTAGCAGGTGAAGTTAATATACCTTTCAACATATTGAGGAAATATGTCTTAAAGAAGATACCAGGACAATGCTATTTACATCAAAATACCTATCAAGATATATACAGTATATCAGGTGTGATTTATTGTAAACAGCAATCGTTTATTCCATTAATTTCTTATATTAAACATAGCTGCTAATCTGTCATCTAAATTTATATATAAATATTCCTGAGGCCCCAAGTTTGTTTCGGGGCATTGCTCAGGTTTTCAACTACTAAGTTTGGGGTAGTCATTGATTGCATTTAGTTTCAATATAACTAAAGCTTTAATAAAACTATCACGATTGCTTGAAGTGCTGTGACATGCCAGCAATCCAATAAGAAGAATCTGTAACTTCTGTTGAGCGTGGCCAAGTGTTAATATTTAGTTGTTTGGTATAATACGCACGCGAACATTTTCAGTAAAATTGCGTTGTATAGAAAAATAATAACATTACGCAAAATATTAAGAGTATTTACTTTAAGATATCTTTAAAATGAACAAATCGAATGTGGAACTATTTAAAAAGGAAAACCTAAAATCGATCCATCTGCTGTTCAATATAAATAATAAAGTATAAAACGCATTTGCTATGAGAATATCATATTTTATTTCTTGTAACTTCTCTCTGAACATTTTGAAATTGAATAAAAGTGCATAAAATTGGGCCTGAAAGAAACGTGCGTCGACCATTAAATAGAGTGTGCTTCAGATCGAAAAAATATAAGCAGTAGTTTGCTGAAATTCTGACGAGTGGACGTACAGGTTTGTCTACGAAACTCTGGAGTCGGGATGCAGAAGATCAATCAGCTAAGTGACATACTTTTTTTTACATTATATATATATATATATATATATATATATATATATATATATATAAAGAAAGAGAGAGAGAGAGGTAGAAGAGAGAAAGGGGGAAGAGAGAGAGAGAATGCATGTGTAATGACTGGCCGTTCGTATCCGAGTATACCTGTCGGCTATCAAATCCCAATTGCAGACGCCTGCTCAGGCACATTTGTGTTTGTTCAACACCCACAGAGCCCACCTGTGAATTATACTGCAATTATGCTGAGCAGACCGTAGTTACTGTTTCTGGGAAAGAGCGTATTATTTGGTGCGATCATCATTCTGAACAAGATGACCACGATGACTTGTGGTTTGTTGCTATCGCAAAAATTCGACATCTTTCAAATAGTCTAGTTTACACACACAAACACACTTTGAGTTTTAAAACAAACGACACAAATCTCAAATGTACCGGAAGATTATCTTCCAAAATTAATTTCCAAAATGTTCTAAGGAATGTTAAATAAAAGGAAAACTTTAAAAAAATTAATTACCTATTTGTCCTTATTCTACCATATATATATATATATATATATATATATATATATATATATATATATA